TTCATTTTGAACATATAAATAATTTGAAATAAATCTCTGATCTATTTAGTTTTTTATCAGAAAAATCAAAGCAATGCAATAAATTTATTAATCAACTCAATATTCTAAATGGAAAAATTAATGAGATATTTGACTATTTAAATCAGATGATGGGAATAGATTTCTCAATCACAGGCGAAACATTAAAACAGATAAACTCCCAATCTATGAATAATATCATTGCTTAGCTAATTAAATTTAATAGTGAATGCCAATCAATTATTTAATTGGCATCTCAAAACACAGAAACATTAATTAAATGCTTTTCCCAATTTTTTTAATCATAAGAAATTCTTCAAGATCCTCTAGAATAAAAGGACTCAATTACTACAAATAATACAAATTCAGAAATATAATTATTTAAATATCAAGTTATCAACTCTATCAAAGAAAACGATTATTGTTTTTCAGTATGTTTTAATCAAGATTCTAGTATTATGATTACTGGATATATGGATGGTATAATAAAAATATTTGAATTTAATTAAGGAAATATTAAAATTTTATAAAGACTCAATGAACATAAGGGCATTGTAGGATGTTTAAATTATATGAATTAGTCAAATTCATTTTTATCTGGTAGCTTAGATAATAGTGTTATAATTTGGAAGATTTATGAAAATAATAAATGGTATGCATAATAAAAATTAACAGAACACAATAATTGGATTCGTTGTATATTGATTAATTAATATGATAATTTAATCATATCTGGAAGCAGAGACAAAAGCATTAAGTTTTGGAGAAAAGATAATTTATGGTAATGTTCATAAACATTAAATCACCATAATAGTGATATAATGAGTATAAGTTTAAATGAATCTTAGAATTATTTAATTTCTTGTGCTTAAGATGATAATGAAATATTAATAAGTTAATAATAAGAAAATAAAGAATGGATTATTATATAAAAAATTAATTAATAAGGTTAAAGATTATGTTTTATTAGTGATAGCTTGTTTATTGTCTAACCATATCTATCTTCTAAAATGAATATCTATGAATTGAATCATTAAACTAAATTATTTAACCAAATCAAAGAACTTTAAATTAAAAATGGGAGTAGTTGTCATTGTTTTTTTGAATCATAATACATTAAATAAAAGTAAATTTTAGTCTGTAAGAATGGATTTAATATCAATTTAATAAAGATAAACTAATAAGCTGAATTTAAATTAATTTAATTTATTGATCTTGGAACAGGAAATGCTTTTGGCAGATTAACAGCAGATGGATAGTTTATGGTAATATGGGATGATAAAACTTAATAAATTTAGATATTTTTATTTAAAGAAATGAAAAAATGATAAATCTAATATTAAGAAATATATATTAATAATTTCATTTCTAAATAGTTTAATTTTTTTTTATAAAATCATAATGATTAAAATATCATATTGTTTTGATGTATCATAGATTTTAAATTAAAAAATCAATCATTATTATTGAAAAGAGAAATCAATTCATAAATCTAATTATATTTGATTTGATTAAAAGTGATTTAATAATAAGTTAAATTTATCCTTTTTACTCTTATAAATAATATAAAAAACAATTTCTTGAAATTCATAAAATTTTATTTAAAATTGTAATAAACTAACGAATAAAGTATTGTTATTTCTGTTTAATATGAAGTTTTTAATCTTATTAAACTAGAATTTGTGCCTGGATAAGTTTCCCCTTCTAATTAAATATTTAAATTTGTAAAGTAATATATGTAGAAATTATCGTATGGATAACATTATTTTAAATAAATCAATAGATATAAAATTCAAATTGTGCAAGACCCTATTCAAATACAAAATTACAATTATCAACTTGTTTCAACTATAAAATAGAGTTTGGAGATTGATTTACAAAATATATATTTACTAACACAAAAATAGAATATTTATTCAAAAATGATAGAAGAAGATGTCAAAGAATTAAGATAAATAAAATAATTTTATATAAATTTTTTTCCAAAAAGAATCATTTTATTAAGTTTATTTATACAAGTATAAGACTTATCTAAATTACATTCATTTCAATGAATTTTAATGCTACTATTTTTGATTAATAATAATTAATGATGATTCCATATACAATCTATTATATCATATGAAGAATTAAATCAAATTGATAATATATTGATGAACATCGTTCTCATATCCTTGCTAATTAATATAGAATTTATTCCTAATCAGAAGAGAGGTTTCCTATTCGTAATGCTTCAAAATAATATTATTTTGCTTCATTTTTTCTTCCCAAAACTAGTAATGTATCAGCTTTATATAAAAATTCAATAATAATACCTTTGCGTTTTAATCTATTTGAATTTTTTTTCAAAAATATTGCTTAATCATAAATTTTTAAGGCTTCATTAAACCTTTATAACATATGTAGAGAAAGAGCTAAATAAAAATTAGTGATTTCCAACCTTTGTTTTCTAAAGCTTCGTCATTGTTTTTGTTTAGATCAATTGCAGTGTTAAAAGATTAAAGAGCATCTTCAATTCTATTAAGTTTGAGTAATGTAGTTCCTATATAATATTATACATTTTATATATGCCTCTATTATGGTGTGCTTTATCATTGTGATTGTTGAATTCTATTGCCATCTCATATGCAATAAGGGCTTCCTAGAATCTTTGTAAATTACATAGTGCAAAACCTTTTTTTATAAAAAAAAATACCTTTATTAGAATATGCTAAATAATTAATTGGATTTAAATCTATTGCTGTTTATATATATAAAAGAGCTTCTTCATATTTGCCTAAATTATTTAATAAAGCTCCTGTAAAATGATTATGAGAAATATTAGCTACCTTTATTATTGTAAGCACTCTCATAGGTTGAATTTATTTATAAGGCTAAGTCAAAACATTTTATGGCCTCATCATATTTATTTAGATGATTTAATGTAATTGCTTTGAAGTTGATAATTATGTGAATTACCTTTCCAGTTATAGACAAAATCATGATTATAACCCATCAATAATGAATCATTAAAGGCTGTTAAGGCTTCTTGATATTTTCTCTCTCTAAATAATTTTTCTCCTAAAAATACAATAAGTGAATATTTAATACCTTAATCAAATCTACCTTTTGCTCTACTCAAATATTATGAATGATTATCTCCTGTCTAAGCAATTTGCTAATCTTCTATTTTAACATATCCCTTTGTAGTGGTTTAAAGAGTTAAGACAATAGAATTTAATGATGTTAAGAATTCACCTAAATTAATTATATAATAATACTTTTTTCAGTCTCCTCGACCTTAGAATAATACCTTCTAAAGAAGTTTATTTCAGTTTTAAATTTTAGATACTCTCCTTTTTATAATGTTTCATTCAAATTTTACAATTTTTTGAGATTCTTCTAAATTTTCTTTAGTGATTAACCCAACAACATTTGGAAGGTCTTATCAATTTCTTGTAATTATTCATAAAATAATTTTTCTTATTGAATATACTTTGAGAGATTTTCTGTTATCATATCAAAACCAAGACATTAAGAACTATGATTATTTTATTGATTTTTTAGACATTTCAAACAAAATTGAGGATTTTATTGGCAATCAATATTAACACAAAATCCTAAAATAGCTTAACCCAAATGGCTTTCATATCGACAATGATACTCTGCCATTTTGGTTTCAATTTTATTATTATTAATTATCATTAAAAAATACATAATTGATAAAGTGTTTGCTAAATAATATATAATTCAATTATTTATTAGTTTTAATATAATATCAATACAATAAGAAAAATGCATATTCTATACTATTGCAAATAAAATAAGACACTATTCTAATATTTTGATATCTATTTAATTATAACTTCTTTTTATAACATTTTTCATTAATTCATTAGATCATGATTTAATTAATTCTTTTGATCATGATTTCAATCATATATTATAAATAAAATATTATTAGAAGTAGGTAAGTATTGAAAATATAAATTATGATAATAATTAAAATATGATAATAGTGAATTGAAATCCTAATATTTTTCCAGAAAAATAAAATCAAGCTGTTTCTTAAGTTCTTTAATTTTTTACATTAAAATAGAGTGATGGTGTTAAGGCAATAACAATATAAAATATATATGTAACTTATGATTTCTTTTATGTATAAACAATAAAATATATTAAGGTATTAGTAAGCTGGTATAAATGTGAAAAATGATTAAATATTTGATCTTATAAAAAAGATATATTCACAAAATGTATTTTTAAAAAGGATTAATAAGAAATTTATTGATATTATTAATATTATACAAAAATCAGAAAAATTATTCTCATTTATTCTCTTAATTTTGTTATACTAAAATTTAGAAGTTAAAAACATTCAAAAATTGAAATCATTACAATACTAGAATTAATTAGCTGAAATAATATAAATTAAAACTAATCATTTATTAATGAAATCTCATTTTAAAATCTTTCTGCTTGTTCTTTATTAATTTAATTGAGGAAGAGTTTTAGTTTATTAGTAGTTAATAATTTTTCTAATTATTTTCCTGAATAATTGAGAATATATATTCAGTGAAAAATTGATATAATAAGACTATTGAAGTAAAAGTGTAATAAAATAAACATATATTTTATTTTAATATAGTATGATTTGTTGGATGGGGAAGTTTAAATTTCAAATAATAGTTCTAATTTAAAAACTAAAATATTAATTAATTGAATATTCTAATCTACTTTAAATGTGGTTCTATACTTAAAAATAAGAAAAGGTCAGTTAATAATAATATACATTTATCAATTTCCTCAAAGAATTAAAAGAACTAAATTTAATTTTTAATATGGCGACGATTCCATTTTAGGAAATATATTCAAAATAAACCCTTAATTAATTACAATTTTTCAAATAAGATTATCCTCTTTTCTTGTAAGTTTCAAAAAAATGAAAAAATTATGCTTATTTCATATATTATATATGGATTGATTTACAATTAATATTATAAATGGCTGATTTTAGATGTAAAAGTTTCAGTATCAGAGCAATTCCAATATTGTGTTGAATTAGAGGAAGGATGATCACTAAAAAATTACTTTTAAATAGTAATTATAATGTAGCAATCCATTATATTAATCTTCTATTAGATATCATGTTTGATTTTAGAGTAGTTTTCCAATTAGAATTAGATGTTTTAATCAAATGATAAGTACTCAATTACTTATGGTTGCCTCTATTCTTAGCTTAAAAACATATAGTATGCTATTTATATATGACAATATAATAAATCTAAAAAGAAGAAATTGAATCTCAATTTACATTTCAGAAGAAGGAAAATATAAATACAATTGAGGAAGTTTATTATTAAATATTTTTGTGCTTGAGTATATGATGATGATCACAATATCATTATATATGAAAACAAATAATTAGAAAAATAGTTAAAATATAAATTAGGATTCATAATTGCAAGAATTTTCATGTCAATATTTCCTTAGAGGTTTACTAAGTAACAATTAGAAGAAATTATAATATTAGTGTTAATTAGTGAAATTATATTTCATTCCATTGTATATTATTATAAAAAATATAGGTTCACCCCGTTATTTTGATTATTAAACAAGAACATTGTTCTTTAATTATTTTAATATAATAACTAGATATTTTGATGTATCTTCAGGCTTCTCAATACCATGTTCTTTCAAAAATAGGGTGTGGCTCTGATCATGTGATATATAAAGTTGAGAATAGGTTAAATTCAGAGGAGTGTGCTATAAAAATTGAAAAATCTCCTGGAATAGGCTAGATCGAAAATGAAATTGGAATGCTTAATAAATTAAAAGGTATTTCAGGTATTCCAGTATTAATATCATATGGAGTTACCCCAGAGAATAAGTAATTTATTAAATATAATAAATTAAGATCTTTTCTTATTATTCCATTACTACATGGTAACTTAGGTGAAATAGCCAAAAAGAAATAATTATCTTTAACTTAAATATTAAGGATTGGATTGAGGATTACTGAAATTTTAGAAAAAGTTCATTATTAAAATATACTTCATCTAGACATCAAACCAGAAAACATTATGATATCATAACCTTTAGTAAATGATTCAAAAATATTACATCCTGATCTTATTCAACTTATTGATTTTGGATTATCATAAGAATTAATTAGAAATTCAAAATTATTGAAAGATGTATTTATTGGCTCATTAAATTTTGCCAGCAGATAATCTCATAAAGGAGAATAACTAGGCTATAAGGATGATTTAGAAAGTCTCTTGTATGTTTTGGTTTACTTAAGAAATTGTATGTATATTCTTTACCCTTAGTAACATTGCCATGGTTCCAAAAACCATCTTGGGGTTATAGAGAAGTAGACATCAAAGTAATTGGCAGGATCAAATAATTTCATTTTAAAACTGCTTCCTAAACTTAGAATTTCCCTTTATAGTTTTAAGAGATAATGTCTTACATAGACACTTTAAAGTATGACACAATGCCAGATTATGGTTATATTAAAAGCTTATTTATGGAAATGTTAAAAAAACCCTAGTGTTCTATCTTCTAAATACACTAAGTATTCTAATCTTCGAATGAAATAGAAACTTCAATTTTAATAGAAAATTCTGCTGAGAACAATAAAGACAATAAATCTTGTGATTAAAATATGGAGGATATGTTGAGTTTTGAGACAAAACATGTTCAAATTTCAAAAATAATAGGTAAATATGTGACTAATTCAATTAAATCAATAAGTGATATTAAATCTTGAGATTATTATTATTCTATAATCAAATATAAATTTTCAATTCATAATTATGTCATAATATATATATAAACATAATTTAAAATTTATTTTGAAACTCAAATAGTTATATAAATATTTAATATTTTTAAATCAATTGAATATATTCTCTTATGCTTAAAAATAGAATTGAAGTAATTTTAATTATGAAACATAAATAAAATGAGACTGTACTTAATTTAATATGTTTATCAAGTACATCACCAGAAAGATTTTTGAAGAAAATATTATTTAGACATATTAGTATTAATCACAATAGTATTGAAGAATACATATTCTTTAAAGATTCTTTATAAATTAGTATTGTAGTTTAAATTATGATAAATCTATAATTATTTTTAAATCATTAATCAACTTTTTATTTAATTCCATTCTAATTTAATTACAATAAACACTTGAAGATATTTGTTTAACTAAATCTATATTTAAATCATTAAGTTAAATTTTAGTTATTTTATTTAAAGAATTTATCATTAAAAATCAATATAAATCATATAATTGTAATTATTCATGTTTACTAGTTGGCACCATAATATTTAAACAAATGTTGTAAATTATTGAATTCTGTAGTTATTTAAGAATTATTTATTAAACAATTAATTGCTTGAATTTCGTATTTTTTAGGTATTGTTTTCAATCTATATAGAAAACTCAAGGTCTATATATATAAAAATTTTATAATACATTATTGGTGTCTTTTTATTATGATAACAATGAAATAGTAAAATTATAAAAAAATACTTATCCACCATTTGATAAGATGATAAAGTCATTTTCATTTGATGAAAAACAAACACTTGATATATCTATGGTCAAATTTATCAAATAAACACCTTAATATTGTTAATCTTTTTGTTAAAACAATGTAATTTTATAATCCTATTCTTAAACTAATAAGTATTTTCCATTATGTGAAAAGAATACATACATAATTGATACTAAACTCTCTATTTGTTGAACTTATTTAAGATCATCTAAATTAGATATATCAATTATTTTAACAATTCCTTATTTATTTTGTACTTCTCCAATTTCACTTCCACTTTTACCTCCACATGCAATCATATTATCATAAAATGATACTGAACGAATATCAAATTCTAGAATTTCATTATTATATTCAACAGTCTCTAAATTTTTGGATATTATGAATTTATTTTTGGTTTCACAGAATCCAAATAATATTTAATCATATTTAAATTGAAATGACTTTATTTAAGACCAATTATATTGTGATTTTAGAGGTCTTATTTTTGTTGGAAAATTAGTATTATAAATTTTCTTAAATTCGATAGTCTATCTACCAGGATAAACTAGAAAATTGCCATCAGGACTAAAAGTGACAGGTAATCCATAAGTAAGCTGAAAATAATCTAATATTGTTGGTTATTCTTAATCTTGAAATTTGAATAAAAAAAAATGATTAATGAAATTTTATTCTTCCCTCACTGCAAGAAATAAATCACTCTTTGGGGAGAATAGTAAATAACTAAAATGATTTTAAAATCCTATTTAGATTTATTTTGGGTCAACATCTTGATTAATTGGATTAAATTTAAGGATATTAGTTTGATTTTCAATATCATAGTCAAGAGTTATGATTGATGATGAATTATTATCAAAATTAAATCTCTGCCAAGAAAAAATTAAGAATGATTAAACTACAGTTTTATTTTACCAATTCCAAATTACTATCCTTGGATTTATTTCTATTAAATTATTTTATAAAACATTTAAAAATCCTTAATTATTTAATGCAAAATATAAGGCTGCAATAAATTTTCCATTTGGTGAAAAGGAAACTTATAAACATTCCTGATCTTTACATTCATCTGCAAAAAGTTAACTCTTTTCATAAACTTCAAACTATAAGTTTATATTCATAGATTATTGAGGTTATTGAATTTGAGTCTCTAGTACTTTTACATAACTCGAATATAAAATTGACCATAATATAATTTGATCACCTTCATTGGATGCTAAGATTTATTCGGTATTCGGAATCCAAATACAAATATGTTAACTATCTAATAAATTTGGATTATATTTTATTGGTAATTTTATTGAATTAGCACCTGATTCTTTTACAAACCAAATTCTTATATAATGATCTTAACTTCTTGATGCAAGTAATTACCCATTTCCAGAATATTCAATTTATATAATTTTATTATTATGACCTGTTAATTCCCTATTTATATTCCATTTTTCTCTATCAGATATTTTAATAACATTATTTTATCTATCCCCAACAAAAGCAAAATTGAGATCAGTTGGAGAAACAGCTATACAGATTATATTATCAAATTCTGAATTGGTATTAATCATTTGTTGTTAATCTAAAATTAATTTCAATTCCCAAATTTTTAGTAATTCTCCATCATTTGATATGATTGCTAAAGTTTCTAGGTTATTATTATTTAAAAAAAAAAATTTTTTGATTGAATATATGTCTATAATTTTTGCTTTTTGTTATAATTCATAAATATTAGAACTATCCCAAAGAATAATACCATCCTTAAAGGATTATGTAACTAAATAATTACCATTTTGAGAAAAACTATATAGACTTTATTCATCTAAAATATTAATTAATTCATCACTCCAACAATCCCAAAATATTATTTTAGATTAAAGTTACAAAATTATTAATTAACCATTAGGTGAGAATTCTGCTTTTAATACCTCACTATCAAAAATTTGATAATATTAATTTGGATTTATTTAATTCATATTCCATAATATAATTGTTTTTTTTGTATCTGTCCATTAGGCTATAACATTATTTTAAGGATTTAAACAAAAATTATTTATGTTTTAGAAGCCTTTAAAAATCCTTTTAAAACACTTATCTTTAATACACCATAGAGCTAAATCATCATTAAATTATAAACCAATTTGTTGATTTGAGTTGAGGGTAAGAATCTACAAAATTTAATTTTAAAATTATATCTTCAAAGTTTCATTGAAATTATCGTCTTTCCATTCATAGAAACTGACTTCATCTTTAATAGCTACTGCTAATGATTTTCCATCAGATGAGACTATAAATTAAGTACCAGTAATCTATTTTATCTACTCTATTTTTTCACTTAATAATTCATATAATGTCAAAGTATTTTGACCTTTAAAAAGAAAATAACTATTAGTAGAATCAAATGCTATTTGATTTATTTAATAAAAAAGTTGGGGTGAATTTTCGATTATCTTTTCCACTCCAATATATTTAGGTTAAAGAGGTTGCCTTAAATCATTGTCCCAATATCTTAACCATCCATAGGTGTCAATAAAACCCATAATCTTTCTATCAGGGGAAAACTATAAAGGGCCTGCAGGTGGAAAATCTATTAATTATTAAAAAAGAATATTGTTTAAATTTGAAAATTCCCTCAAAACAACCTCATTTTGAGAACACGTTGCTATGTAATAATTAGATGATTATTTATTGGATATTGCAAAAGAAAGAAAATGGTTATTTTTATCTAGATTTTCAATTTTTTCAATAAGATCAAAGCTCTTAAAATCCCAAATTTTCAACCAAAAAGCACTAAGAGAAATCAATTATTTTCCATCAGGAGAAAAAATCACTTATTCAACATTCTCTTCATGATCTAAATTTGCAATTTTTGTAATTTAAATGTTAGACCACTGAACATCATTTAATTAAGCAAAATCAAAGTTACATCTATTGATAATTACATTTGTAAATTTAGATTTACTTAAGTTGCAATTAAAAAAACTAATTCCAGAAATGTTGGTATCTGATAACTAAATATTTTATAAATCCTCTCCTTCAAGATTAAAATCGAGATAAGACATTAAATAGATTAAATTAGATGATATTCGTATATATTATGAATTCTTTGACATTTTTATTATTTAAACTAATTTCTCTCTAATTTTTTCTTATTTTCTAAGGTGATCTCTCACAATATTTAAGGCACCTGCAAAATTACTAAAAGTAAGATTCACATTCTCTTTATTTAATTCACTTTAACTTATTTCATTGATATCAACTTCATTTGTAAAAAACTTTAAAATAAATTTGGCAAAATAATATTCTTATATCATTTTATATTTAAAAATATATTTATTACCTTATTTATTAATTAAAAATGGATTAATATATATCTTTTCATCCAAAAATTATTGTTAATCTATATCATCAGCATTCAAATTTTATTAATCAAATTCTATTTATGTTAAATTATTAAAAGTCATTTGAAGAGCCAATTATTCACAAAATTTCTCAACCTTCGAGAAGACAGAGTCAAATTCATATGATTCTATCTCATTTTCAAGTTTTTTTGTATACTTTTTGTTAAATGAAGCTACATATATTTGAAGTATTTAGAACATGGTCAAATTATTAGCCCTTAATGCTTCAATTACAATGATAGAATTAGCTTTTATGGTATATACATTACTATTCATTTGAATTCCTCTATTATCTCCTCTAAGTATGTTGAAATATTTATATTGACTAAAAAAATTTTATTTTTCTAATTATACTATTATCTTCTGTAAATTTTCTTCCACATTTATTGGTTTTAAAGAAATCAAATTGCTTAATGATGAAGTACTAAAATTTTGAGTTTATTTTGAGGATTAGGGATATTTCTATTATAATTTAGAATACTATTATTTTATTTATTCTTTAAAATAAAGGTCTTTATGTTATTTTCGCAATTTAGAAAATAACAAAATAAAAATTTCTAACTGAAATGGTGATTAGGTAAGATGTTAAAAATGATGATTCTATATGATATTTAAATAATTTCTTGAACTTCTTAATTTTGATATATCTTTTGCTATCTTATCGTATTAGTCAAATTTAATATTTTCAATCAGATGACTCTATATAATAGCTTATTAAAAATCTTAATAAATGGGTATACTATCCCTAGGATAATCAACTTAATTTTTTTCTTATTCATTAATAAGTTTCTAAGTATCTAATTCTAGAG